AGTCTAGGAAAATCAATCATAGCAAGGAGCAATCTATCTCTGGTCAGAATCTTCTTTAAACGCTCCGTCAACTTATTAACGGGCGTCCTAGTTATCTAATAATATGACCCTTTTAAAGGTGCCAATCTATGAGCAATTCAAAGGCAAATAATAAAGACAACTATGACAAATGGGTAGAAATAGTCACTGGATTTCTTTTGCATGCTATTCTGAGAAATGTCTTTTATGTTCCAAATCTGATCACAAACCTACAATTCGTCTCTTTAAAAAGAGTATCTTACTAAATGAAAACGGACACAACTAAAGTGCCCAAAAATAAAAGGAATAGGATTCGACTAAGAATCTAGTTAAGGTTCCTACAAACTATCTTAAAAATGTGAACCCAAGGGCTGATATCAACAAGAGCCTAAAGAACCAAGATTCTGACTGCAGATATGCACGAAAAATATTCTAAAACGACATTCAATAAAAACCTGCTGATTTACGAGAGAGATGAAAGGTTCACGACCTTGAGTTATTTGGAATCCATTGCCTTGGTTATCTCCTCGAAAAACAAACAGCGAATTTCCATGGAATAACAGAGTTTAAACAACGATATCTCTTGAATGAAGTATATAAACGTAACAGAGGTACTCAATGTTGGATGATCCAAAGAGACATTACAAGCCAAGTGGAGCTCAACTTCTCCGATGAAAAGGTGGAATGTTACAACAGAAACAATTGATTACAAAAATTCACTTTTTCAACTTTAAACCCTCGATAGAATTGAAGTGGCTAAAGTGTCACAATTTAACGTAACGAAATATTTGTATCTGATTCACAATTTGTGTTTAGGTCATTGGTTGTTGAAAGGTTCAAGTTGTATCAGTCTCTGAATGATGCAAACAATATACCACTTAAAAAGAATCACAAATTGACAGGGAATAGGACGTCAGGACAATTATACGGACGTTTGTTTCTTAGTTCTCAGAGAAAACGTACGGTGGGTCTTTATTCAACCGCCCGGCTTGCTGTTTTGCGCCGCATATTTATGGAGCCGGCAAAACTTTTCTAGGCCAAAACTTTTTGGCCTATTTGAATATTTTTGCAGAGCGTGAGTGTTCCAATGCACAGGCTTTTCAACAACTACACAGTTCAAACGATAACTCCCAACCGAGTGCTTTGAAGGTGCCTTGGAAACACTTTGCGGAACAAACTTTGTCAGTTTGCTTTCAATTAGAAGAGAGCTTTTCTCGTGCTCCTTTTCCAAGGTTTCTAGAGGCTTTGATGTATAATATAATTTTGAACGCTTACCGACAAAATGGTAAAGATACGGACGCTCTTCAGATAGCTGAAAGGACGGTAAAGAATTTTGATATCGTAGGAGCTATTGATTATCTTCTCGAACAATTTCAGAAACGATATTTATTTTTGATGATAGACGAACTTAGCCACCTAAGTGACCTCAGCAAATACTATAGTGAACTTACCATGAAACAGTTCGTCGAGTCCCATCCAGGTTATATCCCGTATCGCAAATTTTTTCGAATTGTATATGAGTTGCTTGATACAGGAAAAGTTATCTTGTATCTTGCTGGGCGAACAGCTGAAATCTCAGTCCCCTTGTCTGATACTAGCTCCAGTAGAGTGAGTCTCCATATGTTGCGGTTGAATCCCTTTAACCTCCATGATATTAACGAATATATTGAGCTGGCAACTTATGATGGAAAGTCCTTGAAGGACTGGTTATTGCCCTCAGATGATTTACGACATCGATTCGTAGAATTGTTGAAAAAGAAGACAGGAGGTATTCCGTTGATTGTAAGGAATACTTTACTAGCCCTAGTAGGGAAACTTGCAAACTTATCTCAACCTGTTATCAACGATGAAAATATGGAACCCTTATTAGATAGAATCTTTCACTTGGTACTACTAGAGTCGGTAACTTTTATTATTCCGGAGATACCTGATTCCGCACCCCTTCTTCGATATCAATATTGTCCTTTCGAATTATCTGCTCGGAACAATTTTTCCAATCGGATTTGCAATTACTATATGTGGAACGAGAACTTATTTGATGGACTTGGTTGCAACTTTTGGGTTTTACTCTGAAATTTGTGAAACTGACGGGATTGACTTGGGCACTAAGTTCAAGATTGGTTGTTGTGAATTTATATTGAGAGCTCATAGCAACTATAACTTTTTCCGTGAGGCTACTGAACTTTTTCCTTTATCTCCGTTTAGTTATATTCCGGACACTGCAACAGCAAAAAGAGTCTTCTTTGAATTTGTATTTATGAAGATCTTTCGTTTTCGCTTATTAACTTTTCTTCATACTAGTTCCTCGCCTATTGTACATTCTGCTATTCCAGGAATTTTCCAGGGTTCCTTTATTGAACAGGACAATATTTCTTATTCTATGGAATCAACAAAATCTTATGATATACCCATCTTGAGAAATGTCTCTCGTTCATTTTCTGGTCATTATAGAGAACATTTACAACGTTGTGGTATTTTTGTTCCAAAAGATGGCAATTCGAGTGGTCCTGATGCATATGTTGTATTCCATAATGAACAAACCCGTTATGTTGTTGGATTTTCATTCAAATTTTATCATAAAACTGAATTTTCGAAAGCAAATATTGAGGAGGAAGCAGAACAATTTTTTAAGGGAGTTGTTTCCGTTTTGAATGACGAATCTTTTTCATCTGTTCAACTTTGTTTTCAGTTTGTGGTGGTAGTTTGTACTAGATATGATCGATCTGTAGGTTTCTCTAGTGAAGAATATAATATTGTTGAGGATGCAAGTTGTTTTGTGACTGAACATTCTTCTACTGGGTCAACTTTGAATGAAAGTAGTCGATCATGTCTGCAATTGGTAATTGTTTCCCAAAGGAACCTTGAACGATTTTTGGGAAGAGAAAATCTCGATATTTTGAGGAAAATTGGGAAAGCAAGCCGAGAAGAGTTCAGAAAAGACTTTTCAGTATGGTGTAAAACTCTCTTTGAGTCAATGTCCAATGAATATGTTTCGCCTTTGGAAGCTGAGCAATCAAATGTTACTTTAAGACTAGCTCGAAATGTAAGACCGAGAACCAATGAGGAGAATAGGATGCAAATGAAAAGTTTTCAAAGTGCTATGCAAGTGGAACCAAGGGTTGCAGCATCCAGTTCTTTGTCTTCGTCATTTGATTGGAATGCTTTCTTAAGAGAACGTTGTGGTTTTTCTGAAGAAGAAGAAGTTGCCTATTGTTTTAGGAAACTTTCAAGATTCGGCAGAGTTTCGCTTTCCAGACTCGATGAAGATTCTTTACGTCGCATGGGTATAACTGATCCCACCGTAATATCCAAACTGCTTATTGGCATTACTAAAGAGTTTTCTAATTTTAGACTCTGAACGAATCCATTGCATTGTATTTGTGTTTTATTGTGTTGTGTGATAAGACTGAATAAAGTTTGGCTCTTACTATCTGATGCGAGTTACATTGGTATGAAATCGACACCAATATTTCAGGACATCGTGTTGTGGCTTAGAACTATTCAACTCATTTACATCAAAGTGTTTTTAAAATTCTAATAATCTTTATATTCAAAGAGCAAGATTATTTGATCATACTGAGGGAAGATGAAAGTTCCATTGAACTTTGCTAGGAAGCATTGATATTATCCAAAATAATTTTTCCAACATGTCTGATTTGGAGACAAAGATTTCTATTGAATGTATATTCATTTATGCCGTATCTTCTAATGAAATGCAAGTAGTTGAGGATATGATATGCTCAGCAATAGATTTCTGGTTCTGAATTGCTACCCTGTGGATGACAATGGGACCAGTCACTTTAAAAGTTTTCAACCTCTGCCAAATCATCAATTCTATTTTCGAGGGATCAATCTCAAGGCTCTATATGGAGAAATAATCTAATGTATGTTGACGATTCTATTGCAAGATTATATAGAGGTTGGCCCTCAAAGTCACTCCTTAGAATGGGATCACAAGCTGTCTCAATTTTCAATAGTTGTAAAAGCTACGCTGCGAGTCAATTTGAACAATATCTTCTTGACAACAAAGAAAAGTAGATTTCCCATTACAATCATAAAATAAGAGTCTTTGCTGTAAATATATGCTTCTTTTCTAGCAAAATGGTGGATAAATCAAAAGGAGACGAAAGGCTTCGTATAAGTCGAGATTGAAGAGGAATTGCAAAACTGGCACGAGACTCATTTGAATGCTCTCCATTTTTGACGAGTAAAATCCAGAAGAAGCTAACTATCCATCCTTTCATAAACAAACTTCAAACATAATCACATTGCTTTGATATGGCTATTCTTCATCATCTCGGAAATAACAACTGTTGTTGGGTTACTCTATTCTTTCGTTTTATTTGGTATCACAAGTATTTTACGTGGAACGTAGTTGGTTGGATTGGAATAGCCTTTGTAACATAGAATTCAATTGTATAGGACTAAAAATTGGGAAGAATAAGACTTGCAACGGGTGTTGTCTTTGTATCGACTTGTGAGTCTTTCTTTATTGGTTTCAGAAAACCAAGGATATTCTTTGAAAGTGCAAAATTTACTTGTATGAATTGAACATAGTCTACCAACTTAAGCTATGCTTTTTTTGGATTGAAGATTCGCTGATTGAGGCTATAAAACTCAAAAGAGAAAAAGGTTGTCCTCAATCTTAAAGTCAAATGTCATATAGCTGGTAGCGTCAATCCAAACTTTTGTCAAGTGTACAATAAAATGTGCCTATGATTAGAACAACAAACGGTTAGAAATTGCACAATCATAGACCAAGAACTATTTGGTTTTGCTCGTGATTTCTCTATGAAAAATTTCTCATGCAGCTGTTACTTTTTTGCTTTTTTTAGCAAGTGCATGTCAGGTAAAACTCCGAGTCATATCTAGCAATGGCAAAAACACACAAGATCTTCCTGTTTGAAATTCTGCAAGTGCGTTCTAATCAACCATTGAAATTTTATGCCGT